GAAGAAAAGCAATGCAACAAAACATTGCTTTTCTTTTTTCTTTCTTTTCTTTTCTTTTCTTTCTTTCTTTCTTTTTTTTTTTTTTTTTGAGACAGAGTCTCACTCTGTTGCCTAGGCTGGAGAGTGCAGTGGCACGATCTTGGCTCACTGCAACCTCCACCTCCTGGGTTCACATGATCACGTGATTCTCCTACCTCAGCCTCCCAAGTAGCTGGGACTACAGGCGTGTGCCACCACACCAGGCTACTTTTTGTATTTTTAGTAGAGACAGGGCTTCACCGTGTTGGCCAGGCTGGCCTCAAACTCCAGACCTCAGGTGATCCGCCCGCCTTGACCTCCCATAGTGCTGGGATTACAGGCGTGAGCCACTGCGCCTGGCCCAAAACATTGTTTTTCAATGCCTACTATCAACGGTGTTACTCCTAAGGAAAATGATAGAATAAGCTTAGATAGCATCTTATGTAGCTTAACGAATTTAACCATGGTCTAGTGTAGATCTAAATGAAGAATGATCCAGGTTTCTTCTGGAAGCCCCTTTCTTATCTGCATACTATTTCATGCAGAAGTTATACTCTAGAATCCGATGAATTCATCCATGGTATGTGGAAATATTGCTAGAGGCTGCAACCATGGTAACATGTCAGCCTCAAGCTATCTGGTTACATGGCCCCAGGAGAGTGGTAGCAACTCTGTGACTCAAATCTGTAAAAGCAGGAACTTTGGACCACATAACTAAGATTACTTTCAGCGATAAGAGTCTATGGAAAATTACTAAGTTTGTCATTATTTTTGTTCAAAAGTAACTTATTTACCGACCTACCTCAGAAATACTACGAGTGTGGTTCCAGACCACTGCAATAAAGTAAATATCACAATAAAAAGAGTCACACAGATTTTTCGGTTTCCCAGTGTATATGAAAGTTATGTTTATGCTATACTGTAGTCTATTCAGTGTGCAATAGCATTATGTCTAAAAAAAGTACATACCTTAATTTAAAAAATATTTTACTATTAAAAAATTCTAACAATGGCTGGGAGCTGTGGCTCGCGCTTGTAATCCAGCATTTGGGAGGCCGAGTCAGGAAGATGGCTTGAGGCTGGGAGTTCAAGACCAGCCTGGGCAATATGGCGAGACTCTGTCTCTTTAAAGAAAAGAAAATACTAACAATCATCTGAGCCTTTAGTGAGTTGCAATCCTTTTGCCGATGGTGGGTCTTGTTTCTATGTTGATGGCTGCTGACTGATCAGGGTGGTGGTTGCTGAAGGTTGGGTGGCTGTGGCAATTTCTTTTCTTTTTTTTTTTTTTATAATTTCAACTTTTATTTTAGATTCAGGGAATACATGTGCAGGTTTGTAACATGAATATATTGTGTGACATTGAGGTTTGGGGTACAAATGATCCTATCACCCAGGTAATGAGTATAGTATCCAATAGGTATTTTTCAGCCCTTGCTCCCTTCTCCCCTCCTCCCTCTAGTAGTCCTCAGTTCTGTTGGTCCCCTCTTTGTGTTCATGTGAACTCAATGTTTAGCTTCCAATTATAAGTGAGAATGTGCAGTATTTGGTTTTCTGTTCCTGTGTTAGTTTGCTTAGGACAATGGCCTCCAGCTCCAATCATGTTGCTGCAAAGGACATGATCTTGGTTTTCTTTATGGCTGCATAGTAATCCATGGTGTATATGTACTACATTTTGTCTATCAAATCCACTGTTGATGGGCACCTAGGTTGATTCTGTGAATAGTGCTGTGATGAACATTCAAGTACATGTGTCTTTTTTGTAGAACAATTTCTTTTCCTTTGGGTTTATATCGAGTAATGGGATTTCTGGGTTGAACAGTAGTTCTGTTTTTAGCTCTTTGAGAATTCTCCAAACTGCTTTCCACAGTGGCTGAACTAATTCACATTCCCATCAACAGTCTATAAGCATTCCCTTTTCTCTGCAGCTTTGCCAGCATCTGTTATTTTTTTGTCTTTTTAATAATAATCATCCTGACTAGTGTGAGATGGTATCTCATTTTGGTTTTGGTTTGCATTTCTCTGATGATTAGTGATGTTGAGCATTTTTTTTATGTTTCTTGGTCACATGCACGTTGTCTTTTGAGAAGTGTCTGTTAATGTCCTTTGCCCAATTTTTAACAGGGTTATTTGGTTTTTGCTTGTTGAGTTGTTTAAGATCCTTATAAACTCTGGATATTTGGCCTTTGTTGGATGCATAGTTTGCAAATATTTTCTCCCATTCTGTAACTTGTCTGTTTACTCTGCTGATAGTTTCTCTTGCTTTCCAAGCCTCTTTAGTTTAATTAGGTCCCACTTGTCAATTTTTGTTTTTGTTGCAATTGGAGGACTTAGTCGTAAATTCTTTGCCAAGGCTGATATCCAGAATAACATTTCCAAGGTTTTCATCTAGGATTTTTACAATTTGAGGTCTTAGATTTAAATATTTAATCTGAATTTTGGTGATTCTAATACATACGTACTGGTATCTTGTTTTAATTTGCATTTCCCTGATGACATACAATGTAAGCATCTTTCAAAAAATTTTTTTTCTTTTCTTAATTTTTTTGGCTCCCCACAGGAAATGAAACCATTCATATGCTTATTTGCCACCTATCTTTGGTGAGGTGTCTGTTAAAGTCTTTGACTTATTTTTTGATCTGGTTCTTTTCTTATTGTTGAGTTTTACCTTGTATATTCTGGATAACAGCCCATTATCAGATATGCCTTTTGCAAATATTTTCTCCCAGTCTGTGGTTTGTCTTTTTATTGTTTTGATAGTGTCTTTTGCAGAGCAGAAAATTTTAATTTTAATGAAGTCCATGAATTTATTTCATGGGTCATGCCTCTGGTGTTGTACCTAAAAAGTCATCACCAAATCGAAGGTTATTTAGATTTTCTCCAAAGTTATCTACTAGGAGTTTTATAGTTTTGTATTTTACAGTTAAGTTTGTGATCCAGTTTGAGTTAATTTTTGTGAAGAGTGTAAGGTCTGTGTCTAGAGTCTTTTTTTGCATGTGGATATCTAGTTGTTTCAACACCATTTGTTGAAATGTTTATCTTTTCTCCACTGTAGTGCTTTCGCTCCCTCAAAGATCAGTTTTATTTATGTGGGTCTATTTCTGGATTCTCTCTTCTGTTCCATTGATCTACTTGCCTATTTTTTCATCCATACCACATGCTTACTGTAGCTTTATAGTAAGTCTTTAAGTTGGGTAGTGTCAGTATTTCAACTTTGTTTTTCTCCTTCAACAGTGTGTTGGCTATTCTCGGTCTTTTGTTTCTCTGTATAAACTTTAGAATTAGTTTGTCAGTCTCTACAAAATAAATTGCTGGGATTTTGATTGTGATTGCATTAAATCTATAGATCAAGTTGGGAAGAACTGCCATCTTGACAATATTGAGCCTTACTATCCATGAACATGGAACAGCTCCTCATTTATTTAGTTTTTCCTTGATACTCATACCTTTGTCAGCGTTTTACGGCTTTCCTCGTGTGTATCTTGTACATATTTTGTCAAGTCTATATTGAAGTATTTCGTTTTTGGGGGTGCTAATGTAAATGTATATTTTAAGTTTCAAATTCCACTTGTTCATTTTTGATATATTAGGAAAGCAATTGACTTTTGTGTATTAACTTTATATCCTGCAACCTTGATATGATGACTTTTTTAACTTTATGTATATATATTTAATTAGAATAGACATAAACCAAAAAGAAGAAAAAAGTCAGAATAAAGTGTCACTATCATTTTGTTTGCAAGGAGGAGTCAGGAAATGGAACAAATTACCAGAAAAATATTCTAAGACCATCTTGAAGTAGCTAGGTTACATAATCTTAAGAGTCAAATGCCAAAATTAAGCCTTATACCACTTAATCCACAGATGAACAAAAGGGGAGTCAAAAGTTTATCCTATTTAGTGTAATAATTTTTACATTAAATATATAGTGATTTGTTTCTCACAAAGTGGTACTGGCAACTTTTAGTAGAAAGAAGTTTCCATTATGCATTGACTAAAAAATCTCAAAAACAACTAAGCAGCTATGCTATAGCTCAGTAAGTACCATTAAACTGTTCTGTGCACATTTCAGGTTAATACATTTGATGGCTAGTGTACATTTCAGGTTAATAGAGAACTACATTTTTGATTTTAAAAAGGCAACAATAATTATCTTTTGGCTTTTAGTCTAGATGCTTAACATAGTTAAGGTAACAGTTCAAGCTGTTGCCTTTTAAGTGAAGGTAGTTAAAATTTAAGAACAATCATCACAATTTCTTGCAACCTACATACACTGTTTGATGCTTACATGGAATGAAACCGGTGTTCTTAATTGGCATGTTACACACACACACACACAAACAGAGTTTTTTAAAAAATCAAAGGCAATCATTCTAAAGGTACTATGGTAGCATGTTAAAAATGCAAATATCCTATAGAACTAAAGTAATATGAACAGCACTACTCATTACCTAGGAGAAAGGTGACTGGTATTCACACAAAGCTATACCTGTATCAGTCATCCTAATCACAATGGCTTAAAAAAGCATCAGATTTCCGGCAGAGAAACTATTCTAGGAAAGTCAGTAAATCTCTTGAAACTTTCACCTCTGTAAAACCAGGATAAGGCTACAACTATTTTGTAATCTGAACAAGGTATCAGATGAAATAGTAAGATTCCCAATCATAATGTAAGATAGAAGGCCAGGCAAGGTGGCTCACGCCTGTAATCCCAACACTTTGGAAGGCCGAGGTGGGTGGATCATGAGGTCAGGAGTTCGAGACCAGCCTGACCAACATGGTGAAATCACATCCCTACTGAAAATACAGTAATTAGCCGGGCATGGTGGTGCAGGCCTGTAATCCCAGCTACTCAGGAGGCTGAGGCAGGAGAATCACTTGAACCCGGGAGGCAGAGGTTGCAGTGAGCCGAGATCGTGCCACTGGCACTCCAGCCTGGGCGACAGAGAGAGACACCATCTCAAAAAAGAAAAAAAAAAAAGATAGAAAGGTCCTCATGCAGCATATGCTCGCTGGCTCTGGGAAAGCTACATGTGCATAATACCGAAGTTGCCAAAGAAGGAAACTGGAGACGCTCAGCTACATTTCCATGGTGCCGTGAATTTTAAACCTCAGAAATGGTGTGGTCCATTAGGCTTTTCATAATGCTTGGTGCCATCCGCTTAATAATATGTTCAAAGATAAAAGCAAGTATGATTGTAATAGTAACTACAGTCCCAGATGTTGACAATATGTCTGCAATTTGAGAGTCCTTCAATCCAATGACATTCTGTCCATTGATTTCACAGATTTTATGTTCTGTGAGAAGACCATTTCTGGCTGCGGAGCTATCTTTCACTATGGATGTTATTTTTCAATTTTTAAAGATAAAACCAACATGTCCAGTGCTATCCTTATGCATGGTAATTGTCCGTTCGAAGGGCCTGTCACGAATGGTCATGGTAATCTTCTCTTCTCTCCAAAAGCCTGTTTGAACACCTTGTGCGCTTTATCAGAGCTTCACCCTGCACAGTTTTCACTATTAATCTGGAGCACTTGGTCCCCAAATCTCAGACCAACCAATGAGGCTGGAAAATTAGTCTGGACTAGCTGAACAAATATACTATTATCTATTGATTTAAGCCTGAGTCCAATTTTTCCATTTTGATCCTTACACAAAATGACTTCACAAATCCTTTGCTTAATTTCTGCTCTATGAATTCCAACGTCATTACCAGTTACAGGAGCCACCATATAGTTCATACTGGAACTTCTTGCCCCTGAATTGGTGCACCAGAAACCATGGCCACATTTACACATATTTCTTCTTCATTTAAACTCAGGCCCATGTATTAAGAGAGCTCCGGATATAGTTTGGGATAGAGATTTCCATCTCGTGAGATGGAAGCAGAAGCTTCTGACAAAATTGCTGGATTGGCAGAGTTTGCAGAAAAAGTATTTTGAGCCCCAATTACTTTGTCTACCTTCAAGTCTTCAAGAGATGGATAGAGAGACATTTTTGCAGGGTTCTTCTAGCCCACAAGGACCCACTCGCTGCCACTGCCTCTGGTTACTGGCACCAACTTCTCTATGATGACTTCTTAATTCCAAGAGTGTTTGTCAACTCTCTTGAATTTTCTACATAGATGACCATGCCATCTGTGAACAGACAGCTTTATTTCTTCCTTCTCAATCTGTATATCTTTTACTTTTTTTTTTTCTTGTCTTATTGCATTAGCTACGACTGCCATTACAACGTTGAAAAGGAGTGGTAAGAGGGGACATTCTTGCCTTTTTCCTAATCTTACTGGGAAACCTTCGAGTTTCTCACCAGAGGTGGTTTATTCTAATGGATTGGCTCATGAGATTGTGGGGGTTGGCAAGTCTGAAATCTGAATTCAGGTGAGAGTTAATGTTGCAGCCTTGAGAATTCCTCCTCCTTCGGTGAACCTCAGTCATTGTTTTTAAGGCTTTCAACTGATTAGATGAGGCCCACCTACATTATAGAGGTAGCCTGCTTTATTCAAACTCTAGTGATTTAAATGTTAGTCACATCTAAAAACATATCTTTACAATAACATCTAGACTAGTGTTTGAGCAAACGACTTGGCACCATAACCTGGCCAAGTTGATACACAAAATTAACCATCACAATATATAAACAGATTATAGGGATTTTTAAATTTGCTTTTCACACAAGCAGAATCATACTATATGCTTTTCTGTGGAACTTGCCTATTATCTTACAATAATATGTCATATTATTGATAAAATGATATCTCATACTTATCTCTCCAGGTCAATCCTTATAGCTATTACTCTTTCTTTTAAATAGTTGGGTAATAAAAAGGAATGAGATCATGTCCTTTGCAGGGACATGGATGGAGCTGGAAGCTATTACTCTCAGCAAACTAATACAGGAACAGAAAACCAAACAGCACATGTTCTCACTTATAAGTGGGAGCTGAACAATGAGAACACATGGACACAGGGAGGGCAACAACACACACTGGAGCCTGTCTTGGGGGCGGGAGGAGGGAGAGCATCAGGATAAACAGCTAATGCATGTGGGACTTAATACCTAGGTAATGGGCTGATAGGTGCAGCAAACCACCATGGCACATGTTTACCTATGTAACAAACCTGAACGTCCTACACATGTATCCTGGAACTTAAAATAAAATAAAATAAAATTTAAAAATAAATAAATAAATAGTTGTATAATATCCAACCATTTGCCCGTTTTTGGTGGGGAGATTATTTCCAGTTACGACCAATGCAAAAAACATCTTTACACATATATGTTTATGTATTGGTACAAGTATTTCTACAGGTTACAGTCCCAAAAGTGGGATTACTGTGTCAAAGAACATGTGCATCTTTCATTTTAATAGATCCTACCAAATTACTTTCTTAAAATGCTATAGCAATTCTCCAACAGAAATTAAAGAAAGTACAAACTTCCCCACATCACTGTCAAAATTAGTTCTAAATTTTGCCTTATGGATGAAAAATGTTATCTTATTATTTGTGTGTGTGCTTTTTAAAATTTTTTAATTGTCATAACACAAAATTAACCATCTTAACCATTTTTAAGTGTACAGTTCAGCAGTGTTAAATACATTTACAGTGTTATGCAACCAATCTCCAGAACCCTTTTTAATCTTGCAAAGTTGAAACTCTCCACCCATTAAATAATAACTCTCCATTCCCCACCCTCCTTGGCCCTTGGCAACCACCATTCTACTTTCTGTCTCTACTAATTTGACTACTCTGGGTACCCCATATAGATGGAACCATACAATATTTATCTTTTTGTGACTAGCTTCTTTCATGTAGCATGTCTTCAGTGTTCATCCATGTCATAGCATGAGTCAGACTTTACTTTCTTTTTAAGGCTAAATAATATTCCATTGTGTGTCTATATCATATTTTTTTTACTCATTAATTTGTCAGTGGACATTTGGGTTGCTTCCACCTTTTGGCTATCATGACTAACGCTGCTATAAACACGGGTGTACAAATATATTTTTGAAACTCTGCTTTCAATCGTTTTGAGTATATACCCAGAGGTAGAATTGCTGGATCATATGTAATTCTATTTTTTATTTTTTGAGGAACCTCCATACTGTTTTCCATAGCAGCTGCGCCATTTTACATTCCCACCAACAGTGCACAAGGGATTTCTACATATTCTTGCCGACACTTGTTATCTTCTGTTTTTTTTATAGTAGCCATCTGTTGCGTTCTTTTCTGTTTTTTTTTTCGTAGTAGTGATCCTGTTATTATTTTAACATATAAATATTCACATATTTATAATCACATGTTTTATATATCAGCTATCTGCATTTTCTGTTCTAAGAATCACCTGTTTATAATTTATAGTCTTCACCTTTTTTCTATTGGGTTGTCTTTTTCTTATCAATATATAGAAGCACTGTGTGTTGGGTTGGCATCAAAATTGCCATTTCTTTTGGTCAAAAACAGTTGACTATCAGCAATTTTATACAGTTCAACTTAATATTATGAATACTGATATTAACTATAATATTGTAGATATTAACCCTTTATCTGTCATTAATTGCAACTATTTTCTCACAGCTTCTTAGTTGTTCTTTGACTTTTCATGATGTTTTGTGCAACTGAAAAATTTTAATTGTCTGTATTGTCAATCTGTTTTTTTTCTTTTATGTTTTCTGAGTTTCTTGTGTTATTTAAGAAGGTCTCCCTAACTAAATATTACATAAATATTCTCCTAACTTTTTTTACTTTACCTTTGTATCTTCTGTAATTAAAGATGAATTAAATAAGAGTTTATGTTTGTGTTTTTCATGTGCTAGGTAATTATTCTAGTATCATTTATTAAATAAGCCATTACTGAATTGAAATGCCACCTTTATTATACACTGTATTAAGTTCTGATAAAATCAATTTCTTTCTTCTCTATTCTATTTCACTGATCTATTCTCCAATGTCCTATTTTTTTGATTACACTAGCTTTATAGAGAATTTTAATATCCATTAGGGCAAGATACTAGTAAGTTATTACTGGTCTTGTTTTTCAAAGCTTTATTGGAGATTATTATAGGGTTGAGTTATTGTTCCTCACACAAATCTACAGAGATCCCTAGTTAACAGTTAAATCTCTTACACATGTTAATATCTCCCTCAGCTCAAGAAGCCAGCTGGGTTCAAGTTTCAACCAATACTTGAGAGTCTCTTTCTTATGTTCACCTTGGGAGGCCAGTACCCAGAGCTTCAGCGAGGGGATGAAGAGGAGAAGGAGGGAGAGGTGAGTTTCTCCAGAAGCCCTCAGCATAGGCCTATTGCTGGTCATAATTGTACCCCACTGTCCCCAGGATGGACCTCCCAGGTAGGTGGGGTAGTCAAGAAAGGTTGAAGGCCTGCTTCAGAGTTTTGGTTACGAATGGCCTCTTTCTCTCTCTCTTTTTTTTTTTTTTTAGACAGAGTCTCGCTCTGTCCCCCGGGCTAGAGTACAGTGGCACAATCTCCACTCACTGCAACCTTTGCCTCCCAGCTTCAAGCAATTCTCCTGCCTCGGCCTCCCAAGTAACTGGGACTACAGGAGCATGCCACCACACCCAGCTAGCTTTTGTATTTTTAGTAGAGACGGGGTTTCCACCATGTTGGCCAGGCTGGTTTCAAACTCCTGACCTCAAGCGATCTGCCCACCTCAGCCTTCCAAAGTGCTGGGATTACAGGCGTGAGCCACCATGCCTGGCCCTCATTCTCAACAAATATCTAAATGACCCCAAAGTATAAATACCAACTCCTCTACCTGCCAGTCCTCAACATCAATTAGTAAATGAAACACATGGAAGCTCCAATGCAGCCGTGGGATCTCCCAGCAAGTGGTAAGGACACAGTGAGAGCCCGGTAGGGGCAAGCCAACTGGACAGCATCCCAGAGCACCTACCTCTGCAGGATGCCAGATCATCATGGAAATAAATCAAACACGCCATAGTAGTTAACTCAGGTTTCCACACAAACTCCTCACATAACTAGGAAAACGTACATGGTTCTACTCTCACTGACGCAAGGGCTCCTTGAGCAGAAATTTCAAATCCATCTTCGGTGGCCTTGCCTTTCTCATCATTTTTGTGATTTGTGCCTGCAATGTGTACTGTGCTTCTACTATCCATACTACTCAGAGTTACTGATTACAATTAGTTCCAATTCTTTTTAAAAATAGAGTTATAAAAATTTTAAAGTAGGCTGGGTGTGGGAGCTCATGCCTGTAATCCCAGTACTTTGGAAAGCCAAGGCAGGTGGATCACCTGAAGTCAGGAGTTTGAAACCAGCCTAGCCAACATGATGAAACCCCGTCTCAACTAAAAATACAAAAGAATTAGCCGGGCGTGGTGACACACACCTGTAATCCCAGCTACTTGGGAGTCTGGGGCAGGAAAATCACTTGAACCTGGAAGGTGGAGATTGCAGTGAGCTGAGATCGCACCATTGCACTCCAGCCTGGGCGACAAGAGCGAAACCCCGTCTCAAAAAAAAAAAAAAAAGAAAGAAATTTAAAGCACAATATAAACTTGGTTGTAAAAGCAATCTTTAGGCAGTAAAACTGGATACAGAGTAAAAAGAAAGTCTCTCATCCACTCCAGCCCCCCAGCCTTCCTTTATTTGTATTTATTTGTTTTTTTTTTTTTTTTTGTAGAGACAGGGTCTCACTATATTGCCCAGGCTTGTCTTGAACTCCTTGCCGCAAGTGATCATCCTGCTTCAGCCTCCCAAGGTGCAGGAATTACAGGTATGAGCCACCGCGCCCAGCCTCCCAATCTTCCTTTGACCTCCCTCATGTCTTACATGGAGAGGTAATTCCAGTAAAGCAGCTACAAGAACCCAGTGTCTTTAGGTTTCTGATTAAAAATTCACATCCTAGTTTATTAAATTGCACATTGGTTAACTTTTATCTTTAAAGGAAAGGCCTTCTACTGCAGCAGATCCTACACTGCAGGCTAGGAATAAAGAGAAACTGAGCTGGCCA